CCGTCCACCATCAGCGCCAGGCGCACACTGACCCGCTCCGCCCTCCCCGCCGGCCCGGCGGTCAGATGACAGCGATGTCATCTCGCCGCCCTGGTCAAGGGTCGCCTGCCCAGGCGGCGCCGCTGCGAGAGGCCGCTCAGGCAGGGGCGGCTTCAGGCGCGGATCCCGGTGGGGCGCCAGGGCCGGGCCGGAGAGGACAAGGCAGGGCAGGCGCGAATTAACTTCGGCGTCCTCGATGCGAGATTGAAGGGCTGAAACCTCTTGTCTAGACCGGCGCAGGTCGTCAGAAAGTCGGTCTATGACGTTATCCCGCTCTTCAACGTGCTGCTCGAGATCTTGAACGCGGTTAAGAAGTCTCTCAATCTGAGCAGACATCCTCTCTCTAAAGTCGTGGAGGTCTCTGGAGAGGGAGGTGGTGACGCGCTGCTCCAGGTCCTCCACCGCTGCGTCCAGCTCGTCCCTGAAGCTCCTGGAGCTCTTGCTGCTCAGGGCCGACGGGCTACGCGTAGGCTCGCCGCTGCGCTCTCGGGCGCCACGTTTGCCCGCCGGGGCTTGGTCTCCCGACTCCGAGCGATCGCGTTTTTGGCTATCGCCAGAGGCATCGCCGTACGCCCTGACGAGTTCGCTCACGGAGTGTCGTTCTCCGGCGCCGGACTGCCCATCCGTGCTGGTGGCACTGTCGCCGTCCTGCAGCTCGGTCCCAGCGCCGGGCACACGGAGCGCGCCAGAGCGAGGCATGACGCCGCTGCCGTCTCACGTCAGACTCGTCAGATTCTCGGCGCAAGGACACAAATGTCACGATTCACAAGTTCCGTCCCCGAAACGGAAACTTAGGTAGAGAGCATATCACTGCTCACTGTCGAGAAAGCCGCCGGCACTACCGGTCGCACAACGCGCTCACTCTATCGGCACCACCAAGCTGGCGAGGAGCGGTGGCGGGCGCGTCCGACCCTGACCGCGAGCACCGGCCGACTGTTGCCACTAATAGGGTTAACGAAAGTGAAAGGAATCAGGAATGCGTAGCCGTGGCGGCCGCGCCGCAACCACGACCGCGTTCGAGTCTCTTCGGAGAGGCGCGCCCGCAGCGACGCCAGCTGTATCGCTAGTTGGTCGAGTCGCAGCTGTGACATCAGGACGTAGTCGTCCCATCTCTCCTTCCAGAGGTAGAAGGCGTCACTGCGGTCGGTGGAGATGTCCAGTCGGTCAGGCCGGATCGGCTGCAGGCTCGTCATACCACAGCGATTACGAAGGACTGTTCTAGAAGCCCTCCACGCCAGCCACCTGGGGAAGGAGAAAACGAAGGCCCGCGCAAGACAGATCGTCTACTGGCCCGGGATCTACCGGGATGTGGAAAATGTCACCCGCTGCTGTACCAGCTGCCAGAGAGATCTACTCGCTCAGCAGCAAGAGACCATGATGAGGAGACCGCCAGCGGAAAGGCCGTTCGAACTACACATCGACTTTGCCGATCACGCCGGCAGGAAGTACCTCGTGGCAGTGGACAGATACTCCGGGTGGCTGTTTGTCGCCGACCTCGGTGTAAGCGCCCCCGCTTACACCGGTCCGAAGGACGATAGCAGGCGTCATGACGAGCGCACTCGCTACGCGACTTAGCGTAAATGGACGGCACGGGAAAAGGGCTTTCGGCGGTACCCGGCTTTTTGATGTCGTGTTCAGTAAGTAATGGTTTTATCTCTTTATTTAATTGCCCAACTCCTTTGGACACCTGATAGCGGATGTCAGAATAACAGCAGCACTCCCATTCATATGTTATTTCAGGTGTCGTCAATTACTGTCCGATTAGCGAATTCCAAGCAGCCGACTTATAAAGCACTAATGTCCTTTGTGTCCATCATAATCGGACCTTGTATGTTTATTCTGCATCAGATTATTTCCTGCAAAAAAAAAAATATATCTAAAGTTCATTTCTCAATTAATTCAAGTCAAATCAGATGCTGTTACTTTTAATGCAGGTAATACAGAATCATGGTAGAACACAGCACGGGCAATACACAATTCGCTTATGTGTCTGCACCTTTTACATTGCTGGTGCTTATTTTACAGGAGCCGTGCGGCGGAACGGGCTTACCCAGGACACCAACAACGGCCAGCTGGAGGTGGCGCCACGAAAGTGGTTTACGGGTGCCAGGAACCGCGACGGAGGCCGCCAGGAGAGGACACCACCTGGAGTTTAAGCGGAGGAGCAGATGAGAGAAGAAGTCTAGAGATGAACAGAAGAGAGGAGAGAGTTTAAACAGCATTTTTGTGTTTATCGATAATATAAATATTGATCACTGACAGTTTGTTTTGTTGCGGTGGCGAACGTTCAGCAATGATCAGGGGAAGTGATTGAAATAGCAGACATCGATTATATTATAATCATATTGAAATTAATTGTAGGTTCTGGTGGGAACTAAGATGGGCTTTGGTGAATATTTATTGATTAATACAAACGATGCTAGGGAGGTGAGCCAGCATGGGGCCCACCTAGGGCCCACATCTGCTGGCCCACGTGGACCCCATATGGTACCCACCTTGAGCCCATGTGGGCCAGCCCAGGTGGGCCACATATGGTGCCCATCTTGAGCCCATGTGGGCCAGCCCAGGTGGGCCCCATATGGTACCCACCTTGAGCCCACGTGGGCCAGCCCAGGTGGGCCCCACCATTTACCCAGGGACAAATTTATGTGGGCCCCACATGGGCTGCCCACATGGGTCTCACCAAGTGGCCCACCTGGGCCCCATGTGGGGCCAAGGTAATAATGTTGGCTGGGTATGGGTCCCAGCTGGGTCCCATTTCGAACCCACATGGGCTCCAGGTGGGATTTTTCGCTTATACCCATTTGGGTCCCGGCTGGGAAAGCCCATATGGGACCCGGCTGGGCCCCATATGGGTCCCATTTCGAACCCATATGGGCCCCATGTGGGATTTTTCAATTATACCCACGTGGGTCCCGGCTGGGAAAGCCCATGTGGGACCCATATGTGCCCCGGCTGGGCCCCATTTGGGTCCCATTTCGAACCCACATGGGCCCCATGTGGGATTTTTCGCTTAGTTATATCCATGTGGGTCCCGGCTGGGAAAGCCCATGTGGGACCCATATGTGCCCCGGCTGGGCCCCATATGGGTCCCATTTCGAACCCACATGAGCCCCATGTGGGATTTTTCGCTTATACCCATGTGGGTCCCGGCTGGGAAAGCCCATGTGGGACCCATATGTGCCCCGGCTGGGCCCCGTATGGGTCCCATTTCGAACCCACATGGGCCCCATGTGGGATTTTTCAATTATACCCACGTGGGTCCCGGCTGGGAAAGCCCATGTGGGACCCATATGTGCCCCGGCTGGGCCCCATATGGGTCCCATTTCGAACCCACATGGGCCCCATGTGGGATTCTTCAATTATACCCATGTGGGTCCCGGCTGGGAAAGCCCATGTGGGACCCATATGTGCCCCGGCTGGGCCCCATATGGGGCCATCTGGGCTGCCCATATGGGACCCAGTTGGACGCCCATGACAAACACATCTGGGCCCCAAGTGGGCAGCCCAGATGGGCCCCAGTTTGCTGCCCACTTTGGGCCCATATGGGCCCCATTTGGGAAGGCTGGCTGGGTACCTACCTACCTACGACATTTGATAAATAATTCACGAAAGTAAATTAACCCTCGCCCGTATAGGGGGTCGAACGGACCCACCCCCTCGGTTTTTCGCGAATAACTCGCGTAGAAAGCGGCCGATCGCGACGAAACTTTCAGTACCCTCGAATCACTCAATGCTACACAAACTCTGAAAATTTCATGACCCTGACCCGAATGACCTTTGACCTGTGACCTATTTCTTGAGGCATTGTTTGTCCGGTATCGCGATTCGGCGTATATGTCGGTTCGCATTAGCCCGCGTTTGCAGTGTTTTCGTGGTTTCAAGCGTTCAGACATGCGATATGATGCTGGTCCCATGCATTAGGGTGGGTGTCAACTGTCAAGGTCACCTGAAGGTCAGGTCAGGTCACTGACCTTTGATGACCTCGGTTCACTTTTTCGAGTTTTAGGTACATGTTTCTAGGCTAGTTTTTTTTTTAGCTAAATTCGAATTTGGCAACCATTCGAACATTTACGAAATAATTTTGGTGCCTTCGTAACATATTACGAAGCTGTCGGAGGCGGTTGACACCTACTACCAATACCCGGCAGGATCCCTACTTGCTGATTGTTGACCTCACCTGACCTGACCCGACCTGGCGTAAATGCATGAAGACATCATCTGTGATCAAATCTAACATGATATTTCGTGATCAGCATCCCGAAAAAAACCCGTAGCAGCCACACTACGACTTTCTAATACATAGGTCCCGATTTTCCCGACTTTTGTGTCATTGACCTGACCTGGAAGGTCAACCAATAACCTAGGACCTTAAAATTGGGTATCATCGGCTTCCTCTCGTCACGGGCAACACGTTCGTTTTTTCCGCGAAGCTCTAGCTCGATCAGGGGCCAAACAGCAAGGGGGCTTCAACGGACCCCCCCCCCCCCCCCTTAGGTATACGTTCGCGGCTGAAAAACACCAATACGGACGAGGGTTAAGTGTCGGTTTACCGACCCAATTAATTATTAATTATTGAATAAGCATAATTATAAAATAGTTCAGCAAAACTTGGACGGTTTATGTACCTAACCGAAATCAGAACAGAGCTCTGACCCAGTGGCCAGTGATGACCCTAACAATTCCCAACGTTGCACTTCGCGAAATGAGCAAAACACCAGAACAGCACTGAACAGTGCTGTTCTACACGAAAACCAGGACTTCCCTTCACTCGGTAACAGCCGGTACTTAGGTACCTAATAACGCCCCCACCGCCGACGGACCGGAGCCCCCCCCCCCTTCCGCACGCATGCGGTCACCATAGCGTCCCCGCAGGCTGTGCCCAGAGCATATGTGGTGCCGTCGTCGGTGCGGGAATGACCCCAGTAGCTCCTCGGCTGCCGCCCGGTGAGGCAGCGGATATGGAGGCCGTCACCCGGTCGCTGCTGATGATGAAAATGCTGGTTGTGGTGCTGGTGCTGCCGCCGACAGTGCTGCCTACATCGCAGCTCCTGACAGAACTGCCCGCCGAAGGTAGGTGCCGACGAGCTATTCACGTCATTTTTCGACACCTGTTGAGATAGGAGGTAGGCATATGTGCCTATAATGTGGTTATCAGGCCGGTGTGTTAACCCTCGCCCGTATTGGTGTTTTTCCAGCCGCGAACGTATAAGGACCCCCCCCCCCTTTGCCGTTTCGCCCCTGATCGAGCTAGAGCTTCGCGGAAAAAACGAGCGTGTTGCCCGTGACGAGAGGAAGCCGATGATACCTAATTTTAAGGTCCTAGGTCATTGGTTGACCTTGCAGGTCAGGTCAATGACCCAAAAGTCGGGAAAATCGGGACCTGTTAGAACGTCGTAAAGTGTGGCTGCTATGGGGTTTTTCGGGGCGCTGATCACGAATATCATGTTAGTTTTGATCACAGATGATGTCTTTATGCATTTAGTCCAGGTCGGGTCAGGTCAGGTCAGGTCAACCAGTAGGGGTCCTGCCGGGTATTCCTAGTAGATGTCAACCGCCTCTGACAGCTTCGTAACATGTTACGAAGGCACCAAAACTACTTCGTAAATGTTCATATGGTTGCTAAATTCGAATTCAGCACCAAAAACTGGCCTAGAAACATGTAAAACTCGAAAAAGTGAACCGAGGTCACCAAAGGTCAATGACCTGACCTGACCTTCAGGTGACCTTGACAACCACCCTAATGCATGGGGGCAACATCATATTACATGTTTGAACGCTTGAAACCACGAAAAGACTGCAAACGCGCGGCAAATGCGAGCCGACATACGCCGAATCGCGATTCCGGCCAAACATGGTCTCGAAAAGTAGGTCACAGGTCAAAGGTCATTCGGGTCAGGGTCATAAAATTTTCAGGGTAGGTGTAAAATTGATTAACGCGAGGGTACTGAAAGTTTCGTCGCGATCGGCCGCTTTTTACGCGAGTTATTTGCGAAAAACCATGGGGGTCCATTCGACCCCCCCCCCCCTATACGGGCGAGGGTTAAGTGTGATGTGACCACTGACCGCACCTATCATCCGGGAGTCGTACTCTTTAGCCCGCGCCGGGCCGGGGGAGGGGGGTGTTTGAACACCCATCCCCCCAGCGGTTTTTCGCAAATATATAAAAACGGCGGCCGCCGTTTTTGGCACACCTGTCCGTTCATCTTTTTCGCACATGTTGTGAAAATTTCAGATTCAGGTCGCCTTAGGTCAGGTCACCAGGTCACGCCAAGTGACCTCACCTCAGAAAAAAAGAATGCTCGTCATAGCTACATCGACGGATTGATTGCCTTGAAACTTTCAGCGATTGATAAGAGCAACCCCAGTAAACATGCCGACGTCGGCCCGACGTCGGCCGACGTCGGGGTGACGTCGGCAACTCGGCATCGGCATGCCGACGTCGGCCCGACGTCGGTCCACCCTCGGCACGACGTCGGCTGGATGTCGGATATGCCCGCATGTTCCGACGTCCAGCCGAGGTCCAGCCGACGTCGGGCCGACGTCGGACCGAGATCAATTGCTGAGGTCCGGCCGACGTCGGGCCGACGTCGGGGCGACGTCGGACCGACATCGGCCGCTGTTTTGACCGTTAAAATAATACCAGTAAAACGCCTTTTGGGCGAAGAACGAGCGAGCGAGGTAGTGAGCCCTGCACGTGCGGAAGGGCGAGAGGGTGCTTCCAACGGGCTTGCGCAAAGCACCCTTCTAACTGGTCGCTAGCGGTGTGCCAAATTTGAACGCAATCGGCCCAGCCGTTCCTGAGATCTGGAAGCGGCATGCTGCACGTGCGCACGTGCAAACGGGGTCCAAAATGACTTTTGCACGGCACCCTACTAACTGGTCCCCAACCGTGTGCCAAATTTGAGCGCAATCGGCCCAGCCGTTCTCGAGATCTGGAAACGCCCCCTGCACGTGCGCACGTGCGGTAGCACCCTAACCGCAACACATGGGAATGCATTGCCTGGTGGGTGCCTACCTGTATGCCAAGTTTCAGCGAAATCGCCCCAGTAATTACCGAGTTACTGAAATGGGAACAAATTTGGCACCTCTTATTGTTGTATTTTGCACGTGCACTGGGGCTGACCCACATGCATCGAGAGTATCCTATTTTGGGTAGAAGGGATGCTGCTACCCTACAAAAATTTCCGCAAGTCAATCGGCCAAGCGGCTGCTGAGATATGAGCCTCTCAAAATCACTACTTTTGCAAAACAGCTTGAACACCCTTGACTTTTCACGTGGCACGTGCCACGACGTTCACTGAGATGTATCAAAAGTAGTCAATTACGGGGTAGAAGGGATGGGGCTACCCAACAAAAAAGACCGCAGGCCAATCGGTCCAGCGGTTGCTGAGATATAAGCCTCTCAAAAGCGTTACAGGCCGGGCCGGGCCGGGCCGGGCCGGGCCGGGCCGGGCCGGGCCGCTCATACTGAGATTTTTCCGTTATATTGAAAAGACTCACTTCGCTCGCTGCGCTCGCTCGCTCGTAATAAAATACATGTTTCATGTTTCATAAAGAGCTTCTGTATTCAAAATATCCTCAGGAAACTCAAATCTTACTCCACGCCGCAACCCCCTGATCCGGACTGGACGGGAAACTTAATCCCTTTCCCATTTGGGATTGCCCGTAAGCTGAGCTCGCCCGTAGCCGGGTGCGGTGAGTGCTTGGGGGCTGCTCGGCCAATCCTTTGGTCAGGCTCAGCCCCGGCAACTCACCAGGGCCGGGCCCAGTTCATATATAGAAAGGCCAGTCGGCAAGTGTCACTTTGCCACAGTGCCACTTATCAAAGGGACACTATAAGCCGGAACTGTATTTCCACTGCCGCGGTCGGCACCTGCACACCGAACGACGCGCAAACCCGATCCTCCCCTCCGCCTGACCCCCACTGCCCGGCGGCCGCTGCAGATGGCCTTTGCCGCTGCCGGCCGCCGGCACATCCGAACTTTGACCCGCCTGGGCGCGCGCCAACATGAGCGAGCCGGCGAAACAGATCAGCGCTGCCAGTACACAGTACAACACAGTACAGACACTTTGGGAAACGTTGGTGCAGGTGTGTAAGAGTGGCTATATGAATCCATTGTGGGGTCGCCCTTTCCAATAAGTGTCACGTAACAGCAATGGGACCAGGGACTCTATATGAACTGGACCCAGGATGTCCGTGAACTTAGCGACGTATACGTATACGTATTCAGCGACGAATTCCAAATCACTTCAGATTCATGGCATGGGTTAAGTTGTCCATGCTGAACACGAATATGACATTTATTTTAACTTTTGAGCTGATCTTCATGGTTAAAATCCGGTTTAAATGACGGGGAACCGCATAACGTCGCGAAAATAAAAACCCACGAATTCCAAAGTATGTGCAAAATGTAGAGCTCATCCAGATCTAACGTCCGTGGCAAAATCCAAGCTCGTGGCTCTTTAACTTCATGGTTAAAATCCGGTTTAAATGACGGGGAACCGCATAACGTGGCGAAAATAAAAACCCACGAATTCTTAAGTATGTACAAAATGTAGAGCTCATCCAGATCTAACGTCCGTGGAAGAATCCAAGTTCGTGGCTCTTTAACTTCATGGTTAATATCTGGTTTAAATGACGGGGAACCGCAAAACGTCGCGAAAATAAAAACCCACGAATTCCAAAGTATGTGCAAAATGTAGAGCTCATCCAGATTTTACGCCCGTGGAAGAATCAAAGCTCGTGGCTCAACGCCATCATCGTTAAAATCTGGTTTAAATGACGGGGAACCGCATAACGTCGCGAAAATAAAAACCCACGAATTCCAAAGCATGTGCAAAATTTATAGCTCATCCAGATCGCAGAATCCAAGTTCGTGGCTCTTTAACTTCATGGTTAATATCTGGTTAAAATGACGGGGAACCGCATAACGTCGCGAAAATAGAAACCCACGAATTCCAAAGTATGTGCAAAATGTAGAGCTCATCCAGATCTAACGTCCGTGAAAGAATCCAAGCTCGTGGCTCAACGCCTTCATGGTTAAAGACCGGTTTATATGACGGGGAACCGCATAAAGTCGCGAAAATAAAAACCCACTAATTCAAAATTATGTGCAAAATGTTGAGCTCATCCAGATCTAACGTCCGTGGAAGAATCCAAGTTCGTGGCTCAACGCCTTCATGGTTAAAATCCGGTTTAAATGATGGGGAACCGCATAACGTCGCGAAAATAAAAACCGACGAATTCCAAAGTATGTGCAAAATGTAGAGCTCATCCAGATCTAACGTTCGTGGAAGAATCCAAGTTCGTGGTTGAACGCCTTCATGGTCAAAATCCGGTTTAAATGACGGGGAACCGCATAACGTCGCGAAAATAAAAGCCCACGAATTCCAAAGTATGTGTAAAATGTAGAGCTCATCCAGATCTAACGTCCGTGGCAGAATCCAGGCTCGTGGCTCTTTAACTTCATGGTTAAAATCCGGTTTAAATGACGGGGAACCGCATAACGTCGCGAAAATAAAAACCCACGAATTCCAAAGTATGTGCAAAATGTAGAGCTCATCCAGATCTAACGTCCGTGCAAGAATCCAAGTTCGTGGCTCTTTAACTTCATGGTTAATATCTGGTTTAAATGACGGGGAACCGCATAACGTCGCGAAAATAAAAACCCACGAATTCCAAAGTATGTGCAAAATGTAGAGCTCATCCAGATCTAACGTCCGTGGAAGAATCCAAGCTCGTGGCTCAACGCCGTCATGGTTAAAATCCTGTTTAAATGACGGGGAACCTTATAACGTCGCGAAAATAAAAAACCACGAAGTCCAAAGTATGTGCAAAATGTAGAGTTCATCCAGATCTAACGTTCGTGCAAGAATCCAAGCTCGTGGCTCAACGCCTTCATGTTAACCATGAATGGAAGAAATCAAGCTCGTGGCTCAACGCCTTCATGTTAACCATGAAGGCGTTGAGCCACGAGCTTGGATTCTTCCACGGACGTTAGATCTGGATGAGCTCTACATTTTGCACATACTTTGGAATTCGTGGTTTTTTATTTTCGCGATGTTATAAG